GAAATTTTGCTGATACTTCCCCCCCCAGGAATCAAAGAAAAGAAGGGAAGTAAAAAAAAAGCAAAAAAAAAAAACAATAAGAAAAGAAAAAAGGCAAGAAAAAGAGGTGGAAAACATGCAGCCGAAAATACCTTCATCAGCTGAGGGATTGTTTCCAGACGGGTCGTCCCGTTTTTTTGTGAGTGGACCTAAGACCAGGGAAAAAGAAGAAAAAAGAAAAATTGGGAAAGTGGGGAAAAAAACGAGAGAAAGAGCAAAGAGCAAGAAAAAAAATACACCAAAAAAAGAGAGAAATCAAGAGGGTTTTTTTTTTTTGCTTTAAAAAAACAAGGAAAAAAACCACCCAAGAACAGTTAAAAAAAATACAATTTTTTTTTGTTCAGAATCGCAATTTTTTTTCCGTCAACGAGCAAAATACAAGCTTTTTTCCCCCGAAAAAAGGCCACAGAGAAAGAGAGAGAGACCGAGAGGACACGGGAAGCAGCTGTTGAGTCAAAGGTGGTTAAAGGTGGGGTGGGGGTAAGAGGAGGGGGGCTGGGGGGCTACAGGAGGGGGGAGATAGGTCAGGTCCTGTGTCCCACAGCTGTGGGCTCTGTGCCGGGGGGATGGATGGACAGATGGGCACAATGGCTAACAGAAAGAAAGAAAGAAGGAAAGATTATAGAGAGATGGATGGATACGTGGGGGTTGTGGGGACAGTGCATGGATGGAAGGATGGACAGACAGAGGCTTGTCGGGTAGATCAGGAGATGGATGGACGGGCACGATAGAGAGAGAGGGGGGGGGGGCGGGATGGCTGTGGATGGATGGAAAAATAGAAGTGTATGGAGAGGGCCCAATGTCTGGACAGACTGGCAGAAGAAAGAAGGATGGATGGCAAGACAGACGGACAGCCAAAGGGGATGCGTGGGGAGGGATGGACAGAAAGACGGACGGGGGACTGAGGAATGGGCAGAGATGAAAGGAAGGACAGAGTGACAGAGGGAGGGATGGACACGTGGGAGATTATGGGGATGGACGGACAGACTAAGGATTGACCAGACAGACTGATGGACAGGTTGGGGTGTGAGGCCAGATGGATGGACCAGGGGGAGGGGGGGCGGAAGGGAGGGAGCAGTATACATGGGCACCAAGGCCCTGGCGGCCGAGCCAGTGGGTTCAGACCAGGTGTCCCCCACATCCCAGGGGGTCCAGGCTGCGGAAGAGCAGCAGCCCCCAGACCACCCCCCACTCCAGCTCCCACAGACTGATGGACAGGTTGGGGTGTGAGGCCAGATGGATGGACCAGGGGGAGGGGGGGCGGAAGGGAGGGAGCAGTATACATGGGCACCAAGGCCCTGGCGGCCGAGCCAGTGGGTTCAGACCAGGTGTCCCCCACATCCCAGGGGGTCCAGGCTGCGGAAGAGCAGCAGCCCCCAGACCACCCCCCACTCCAGCTCCCATGGCATAGTGCAGAGACACCTCGGATGTCTGAATCCCCAGCTCCCCTGCTCTCACCCCCCAGCCCCCTTCCCCTCCCAGAGACCCCAGGCATCCTGACAGCCCCCCCTGCTCTCGCCCCCTGCATCATTAACCCCTCACTAGCCAACCACTGCAAAGGAACAGGCAGCAGAAAGTTGGGGCGAGGGGGACTGGGAGCCCAGACACCTGGGGTCTTTGGGAGGGGAGTGGGACCAGGGGGTGAGAGTGGGGGGTGGCTAAGGGACCGGATGCCTGCGTTTTATCCAGCTCTGAGAGCGGTTATGGGGCTGCAGGGTGGGGGGGGTTGGGAGCCCACTGTCACTTGGCTTCTATGGTAACTGCCATCCCCCCTTCCTTGGGATGGGGTAGGGGGACAATCCCCACCCCCATGGCATGCCAGCCCCCTCCCCCACACCAGACACCCTACATCTCCATGGCAACCCTGTTGCCAGGGTCCTTGCCCCTCCCCCTCCATTAAAAACACCCTCCCCTCCAGACCAATGGAACGGACCATTCCACAATACCCCCCCAGCCAGCCCAGTGGACCACTCCACAACACTCCCCTGCCAATGGCATGGACCATTCCCAAGACACCTCATCAGCTCATGCAATGGGTTGCTCCATGATACACTCCCACCAGCCCAATGGAATTGTCCACAACACCCCCACCAATGGGGAGGGACCATTCCACACCACACCCCCAAGCCAACCCAATGGACCACTCCATGAGCCACCCCCGTCAATGGAATGGACCATTCCATGAGACCTTATCTGCCAACCGCAGCCAGCCCAATGGACCAGTCCACAACACCCCGGTCAAAGGAATGGACCATTTTATGACACCACCACTAACCCATTGGACCACTCCATTCCCCACCGCCAACAACCCAATGGACCACTTTATGAGCCCCCACTGTACCAACCTAATGAACCACTCCATAACATCAA